CCGTGTTGACGATTGCTGAACATCTTATTTTCTTCATAGTGCTTGATTATTTTATTATTAATATTTTTTTCAAAGATTTTAGAAATGTTTGAGTTCAAACATAAGGGTCTGTAGCTCCTTTACTCGCAGTAGTCAGCTTTACCTGGCTTTGGGATAACCAACACTTCAGCTTTCTTCCACTCATTTGGGAAGTAGCTCATATCCAAACACTCCTGAAACAGCTTAGTCAAGAGCGGAGCGATAAAGTGTTTAGTATGCAATATCATATTGTTAGATATATAGTCAGTTCCAGGAGATTTCCTTGGGTTTAATTTATCAATTATATCATTTATTTCCTTCATTCATGATTATATTCCATATTGTAGGGGAAATAGGTCCTCCCTGCGGGCATCCTTTGCTTAGTGTTTTTTTGAACTTCAATTGATGTGTATCTGTATATTATTTTTAATAAAATTGTGAAAAAAAAATTATATTAAAAAATATTTTCTCACAATGAGTTTCTTTTTATTTCAAAACGCTAGCTTTCAAGCGATAATCGCTCTTCAACGATTTAATAAAACAATATCGACCACATCCTATAAAAAATATTTACAAAAACATACAGTTACAAAATGTTTTTGTAAATATTTTTATAGGATATAGTCGATGTTTTATTAAGCCCGTTGAAGAGCGATTATCACTTGAAAGCTAGCGTTTTGAAATAAAAAGAAACTCATTGTGAGAAAATATTTTGTAATTTTAAACAAAGTTTATTTATTTTTGCTTTGATTTTTTTTTCTCTATCTTTAATATCACACTATTATTTTTAATTTATAATTTTTGAATATTTTCTAAATTCTTTTTTCAAGGTGTTACCAGGCTTTCGTCCCAACAATGGCAGTTATTTTTTTGCCTAGTCTTACTGATGGAAGAGTACCGGCATTTTGTGGAATGACATTAATAGAATTAAATTAAGTATTAATCTTAGCTTGAAACGGAATAAAGGAATAAATTGCAATCATAATTGATATATAAATCGATCAATTGCCCACTGGATAAGGGAGCAAATTATTTATCAAATGCGCACTCGATATGGAATAAATTTATGAACTGATCTAACGCGCACCGATTTGAAATCTATCAATGTATTAATCGAATGCGTTCGGGATATTAAATCGATTTATGTACCGATCAAATGAGAACTAGAATCACTCTCTGACACAAAATTTAAAAATTAATAAAACGTCCGGTGAATATATGAATTAATCAAACGCAAATTGGAAATATGGAATCAATTCTATGTATTTATCAAACTTGTACTAGATCTGGAATCAATCTCTGAATTGAATAAATATCCACTGGATAATGGAATCAATCTATGATTTGATCAAACGTACACTGGATAATGAAATCAATTTATGAGTTGATCAAACGTACACTGGATATTGGAATTAATCTATGATTTGAACAAACGTACACTAGATAATGGAATCAATCTATGAATTGATCAAACGTAGACTGGATATTGGAATTAATCTATGATTTGAACAAACGAACACTAGATAATGGAATCAATCTATGAATTGATCAAACGTACACTGGATATTGGAATTAATCTATGATTTGATCAAACGTACACTGGATATTGGAATTAATCTATGATTTGAACAAACGTATACACTGGATAATGGAATCAATTTATGATTTGATCAAGCGTACACTGGATAATGGAATCAATTTATGATTTGATCAAACGTACACTGGATATTGGAATTAATCTATGATTTGAACAAACGTACACTAGATAATAGAATCAATCTATGAATTGATCAAACGTAGACTGGATATTGGAATTAATCTATGATTTAAACAAACGCGAACTGGATAATGGAATTAATCTATGATTTGATCAAACTCGCACTGGATAATGGAATTAATCTATAATTTGAACAAACGTACACTGGATAATGGAATTAATCTATGATTTGAACAAACGTACACTGGATAATAGAATCAATCTATGAATTGATCAAACGTACCCTGAATATTGGAATTAATCTAAGATTTAAACAAACATACACTGGATAATGGAATCAATCTATGATTTGATCAAACGCGCACTGGATATTGGAATCAATCTATGATTTGATCAAACGTACAATGGATATTGGAATCAATCTATGATTTGATCGAGCGCACATTGGATATTGGAATAAATCTACGAATTGATCAAGCGCACACTGGATATTGGAATCAATCTAGGAATTGATCAAACGCGCACTGGATATTGGAATCAATTTATGAATTGATCAAACGCACACTGGATAATGGAATCAATCTAGGAATTGATCAAACGCACAGAATACTAAACAGATCATAAACGGAAATTTATCTGCTGTTTAATCAATTTGCAAAAGTATAAAGATCCCACTTATTAATGAATTAATTACAATCGAAGTAACACCATTCAAGAAACAAATAAGTGTTGTAACAATGATTCCTCAATTCAATTGATCAGCTCTCTGTGCCTGATGTAGGCAAGTTTATATATATATTTTTTATTGAATATATCAAATATTCGACCAGTCATAAGTACATAAAACAAATAATTCGAGATTGATTCTGAATTTTCATTTTAGAGATCAAATCATCAAATTTAGTAATATAATGTGAGGTAAATAATAAGTAAACTTATCGATCCAAGATAAGATAAATTATTTGTCAGTTTTTATCAAAATAAAAAAATATATGTGGTAATATATGGTGTAGGGAAATGAAATAAATAAGGACATCAGAATTTAAAAGAGGGCCAAAGACAACCAGAAGAGAGAGACGGGCCTGCCACCGTCGAGCGGCCGTTCGTGTCGCACCACAAACCCCAACGGCTTTAATACTCCCGAGAACTAACGTGACCCTGTCGTCGCCCCTTGGAATGTCGCTGGTGTCTTAAGTGGCCGGACTTTAGTGACCCGTCTCTGTCTGGGTTGTCTGTAGGTTGGCTTTATTTGTTGAATACAAGGTACATGTGAAAGGGGAGGCTTTTATACTACATATATATTCAAATTAATTTATTAACCCAGGTTCCTGGATTCAAATTAATTTCCAAAAAAACAGGCGACTCTAAATGTTGCTGAATCATCATGCAGAGCAGCAGATTATTAAAATAAATAAATTGCATGTTTCAATATTAAGGAACTAAGGTAGCACATATTGCGAGATTTATTAATTATTTATTGGATTTAATAATATTTTTAAATGTTATCCAATAATGATTTCACTATTTAACGGTTATATATATATCCAAATTTTTTCATTTTTAATATGTTATGTTTTTATTCTTTATTCAATTTAATTAACCATTTTTATCAACTTTAAAATTCTAACAAAACCTCTGAATACATCTTATATATTTTATTTGTTTATTTATTTATTTCAACACACTTATGTATGCTATACCTTGAAGTGTACTCAGTTGCTATGTGGATAGTTATACTTCTATTCCCTTTCAGAAATTTGATGATATTGTAAATAGCAGAACCTGCTGTGAGGGCAGTCCGTTATCGGCAGTCTGCGCTTATCATCTCCTGTCATGACAACATTTTTTTTTTCCAAATCTCGCTCCAATGAAAAATGTTTATTGTTAATTTTTCTAAATTTCGCTCCAAGTAGCATAGTGCTTGGTTAATTAGAATATCCCTTGGTTGAAAATGCGACACAAACTCCTTTTCTTTGGCACATTTTGATGTGAGATGATTTTCACAACATTTTACTCATCTGGGCTCGAATTAAAAATGTCCGAAGTTTTGGCACATGTGACATTGACCAGGGTCTTTGGGTACTATCTAAGCCTCTATTCTGCATTTCATGTCGCAAATGTGGGTGACATTGAATATTTCTGTTTTTGGTAGTTTCAGAATGAGTTATCTGAACTAATAGAAGCTCTTCACTGGGCTCGAAAATCATACACTTTGGTTAGTAGCCTGTAAAACCATATTTTCTCTGGAAGCTCTTCTTTTATACTTGCCTTGTGTAATCTTACATTTTGATCTTTTCGAATCCTTATTTTCCAGATATTCTTCAATTCCTAAGTTGAGATACAACGATCTAATTCTCTTATAACCTCAGATTTTTGCGTCGTCAAGTATTTTGAAGTGGAAGCTGTAGTGCCTTTCTTCTAGCCATTTGGTTGCGGCACGATACTCTAAGGTGGAGTGGGTCTGAACGTTGATATAACGTCCAGCTGTACAGAAGTCAGACTTTGTACAGTTGTTGAGGCCATTTCTGGGATCTGGCTATTCAGTGGCCCCATTTATTTTAATAGGTAGAACTTTTGTTTTTGGGGTGGAGATGGGGCGTTTCTTTTATTATTTGATTTATTTTTTTGTTCATTGACTGTGATTTTATATCAAATACCTGTTCCTGAGTTCGAGTATCATTTGAGAAAAATTAAATTTCTATCTCAATTTCTTTTTATTTTGAGCTATGCGAATTTTGGAGTGAAAAATGTTCCTTTTTATGCTTGGATTTAGTTGCGTTTGTAACTTCCGCAATTTGGAATTTCTGAATAGGCATACTGAAGGTATTGGTAGTGACTTTTCTGTTTTCATGAGATTTTCTCTATGACGCTTCAGGGGATTTTTGGGTGTATTGCAGTCGGCTGAATATTCTGAACGTACTTGGAGTAGCTCTCTTCCATAAAAATCTATAAAGTTCATGAGTTCAACAAAAGTGTTTTCTACTGAGCAATAGAATTTTTTCATGGCTTGGATGCCTTCCTCATTTTTAATGTAGGAGATTCTGGAAATTTCCAAATAAAGTAAGAGCTTGTACCTACCGGAAATCTTGGATTTGTGGAGTTTGAATTCCGGGCATCGCTTGTGTATGGGGAGCCTTCCATGGTCGAACACTTTTTCTATTTTTCTTATGAAAAAAAAAAACTTTTTAGAATAAAACTTGAGATTTTATAGTTACTATATAATTTCGACGATTAGTGCATCTGAGCTATAAGAATTTTTAAAAAGTGGTCCGTGGGGGGTTCGAACTCTAAACAGGTAATAACCCGTCGTGTTATTAGCACGACGCTCTAAACAACTGAGCTAATGGGCTTCAAAAACCGGGAGCGAGACCTGATACATTCTCTAATAATATATATGTCGTATCCGTTGTGATCGAATGGAAGGGCGCAGCCATTATGCATGTAAGCTTCGAAAAATAATTCGTTCCACACTCGTGAGCACGCGCACGTTTATTTTGTACAGATTTATAGATGGATGAATTTGTATTTACATTTTAATATACTAATTATGGCGAAAATAAATTATATCTCTTGGGCATTAGGCAAAATATGACATATATATATATAGCGATAGAAGAGGGAGAGATAATAAAGAAGGTGACCAAATAGTTTTGCTTCTCAAACACATAGAGTTGAGATCTTCCGTTTTTTTTAAAACTACCGCGATTAGAGACTAACGTTGTACAACTTCATAACGGGCTAATGAACAGAAGGATTTCTTCAGAAACATCAGAATAATGACGTGTCAAAAATGCTTATTACTGGTATTTTTACTGTTACTCCTGAATGCACCCTACATTTCTATTCGGAGAATCTGTATACGACTGAAAGGTCTTAATGAAGCTTTTTGTTGTTGTTGTTGTAAAAATATATAATAATAATGGCGTGTCAATTTTCATGATATTGCTTACAATATTGTTTTCCTATTTATTGTATTCTCTAATTCTCCTCAACCAGCTCATAGTTTAGTAGTTGGCTGTCCTCTCAGAGCTTCCTTTCCATGGTCAGTCTTTCAATGTTACCGTTGTGTCGAACACTGCGAGGTATATCTAGATAATACAATTGTCGCAAGGCCATGATGAAAGTAAGCATGTCAATACCGCCTAGCCTATAGATGATGACCATAGTAGAATGATTGAATACCTAACCCTGGCGGCGGTCAATGTGTCCAGGAGTGCTGGTGGCCTTCCCCGAAGTGGAATACGATGGTTCTGACTTCTACGGATGGAACGGGAATCTGAGCCAAAAGATCAGCACAGGTAGGAATCATCGCTTTTTAGCTTCATTTTCAACTTATTCAACAACACAATCCTTTTATTAAGACATCTAGTCGTAAAGAGTAACTCGTCCCCGAGTCCAAGAGAGTAGAAAAAGACCAAATAAGGATAAGAGTATCGATAAATACAAGGTATGTCCCATAAGTTCCCGGACTGGGTCCATAAAAAAAATAAATTAATTAAAAATGTAAATGAATTTGACTGTTTATTATAGAAAAAAATATCTGGCTACACGGTGGTACCAATATCGAGGCGGTACTTGCGCGAGAGCCAAGTTTATTCTAATTTATTTAAAGGTCACACCTAGCGCTGCGGCGATTTTACGATGGAACAAAAATTGAAGCAGAGGATTTGCATAGAATTTTGTGTGAAACTTCAAATATCAGCAACCGAAACTTTTGAAATGCTTAATAAAGCATTCCCCAATGACGCCCCAAAGAGAACAACTGTTTTTGAATGGCATTCTAGATTTAAAGCTGGCAGAATTTCCATTGAAGATGATCCTCGTCAAGGACGCCCAAAATTTCAAAGGACTGATGAAAATGTGCAAAAAATCACCGATTTGATGAAAGAAAATCCTCGAACCACTTTGCTGGAGCTAGAGCAAGACACAGGCATCTCTAAAACAACGATTGGAAGGATCGTAACCGTAGATTTGAAGCTCAAAAAGACTCCTGCAAAATTCATCCCAAGATTCCTCACCAATGAGCAAAAACTGTGTCGGCTTGCAACCTGTGAGGACATGATGGAAATGACAAGAACGGATCCAGAATGGAAAGACAAGATAATCACAGGCGACGAGACAAGGGTCTATGGCTATGACCCTGAAACCAAACCTCAACCTGCCGAGTGGAGAGGTTAGGGTGAGCCTAGACCCAAAAAAATCCAGAAACAAGGTGTTGCTGGTCGCTTTTTCGGATAACAAGGGCATTGTTCATCACGAGTATCTTCCTGCAGGCCAAACAGTTATTAAGGAAATGTATTTGGGCATTCTTCGCCGTCTAAGGGAAGCGTTCGAAAAAAAAAGGCCAGAAAAATGGACTAATGGTGGCTGGATCCTACACCATGACAATGCTCGCCCTCACACAGAGCACTTGATGACTAGCTTTTTGGCGAAAAACGGGACACAAATCCTACTTCAACCACCCTATTTCCCAGACATCGCACCAAATGACTTTTTCCTGTTCCCCAAACTTAAAGCAGTTCTAAAAGGAAGACATTTTGACACCAGGGATGACATAATAGAAAAATCGCCGTTAGCATTGAAGAGCATTCCAAAAAGGCTTATAAAAACTGTTTCGACAATTGGGGAGAAACGATGGCGCTGGTGCGTTGAAGCAAGGGGGGATTACTTTGAAAAGTTTTAATAAAAAAAATTTTAAAAAATCTTACCTTTTTTTTTATGGACCCAGTCCGGGAACTTATGGGACATACCTTGTATATACGTGATAACTTACACACAGTCTTGGTGGTGATACCACTGATGGTGTCATCCCCCTTTTTATTATTTCCGCATCGATATTTGAGGCCAAACAATTTGCAGCGCAATATGAGAAGTAGGGTTATCAAGGAAAAATACTAAGTGAAGGAAATCCAGTTCGACGGTGTTAGGTCGACAGTGCGTGTGCCCTGTATTGTGTTATGTATATCTCCAAGGCAGGAAACCCAGTTCGACGGTGTGAGCAGAGTACCTAGGACAGACCTACAACATAGATAACTTCACCAACTGCCTCCTGGACAAGCCCTCACTACACCGCCCCTGTTTCTTCGATGTGGCCTGGCTGGACTCCCCCTGCCGTGCCGAGGACAGCTTCGGCCTGCGCCCCGACTCCAACGCCACCATCAGCCCGTGCTTCTTCCTGCAGATCCTCAACGTGAGTTGCGGCCATTAAAGAGAGAACAGAGGTAACACGGGTTCTGGCAGCGCCAGGGAGTTACAAAGTCGGATAAAGTTGACGTCACACAGATGATGACAAGGATTTGTTTATTTTGCTACAATAATGATCGCTAGACAAAAGCTTGTTTGTATTTCAGGTTAAGAAAATATGGTGTGCTGAGTTATATGAAGAGTAGAAATATTAAATCTGATCATTTATAGATATAACATTGAAATAAAAATAAATTTATTTTAAAAAATAAACTAAAAGAGAAACTATATCAATGGCAGTTTGTTTTCTAGTCAAGTCTGCCACATATTCCTATTACCTTGTTTGAATCTAAACTGCTGGCTGCTAGTTATGACCATATAGAGAGGAAGCTTGAAGACAATTAATTGTTTTGACGGTTCCCGCTTCTTGAATAACAAATATATTGTAATATGGCATGAACCCTTCCAGCGGTTTCGCCAGTTTAATCCTCCACATCGCCTTTTGAGCTACTATTTCATTGGACAATTCTGCTTATTTATCTGGTACTGTAGGGGGATCTTAGCAGGACCCTGTCTGGGAGTCTATGGCCTATAAGTTATGGATAATTAACAACTGTATGTATAATATAAGGGGGGAAAGGCATCGCCTTATCGTGCAACTGAAAGTTGCTGATAGTTTGCTCCATCTATCGGAATAAATATTAACAATTCGCTGATTTCTAATTATTCCAGAATCGGCCGAATACCTATTTTTGATTAATCAAGAAAAGCTAACCACGTACGTTTTTCGGGCTGTTGGCTCTCGTCAGCGTGGTGCAAGATGGTGCAAACCATCAGCAACTTTCAGTTGCACGATAAGGAGATGTCATTTTTTTTCTTAATTTATGCACCTTATCCCAATACAATATCACATTTGCACTCTTTTATACATTGTATACTTTTATACATTAGTCTAAGTGTGCTGTGTGTTCAGGCCACGAATTGGGTTCCGCAGCCAATCCCCCGCTCCTCACGGCCCAGACCATCTAAACGATTCTTCTCTGGAACCTTCCATCCTGCCTTCTTCAACCTGGGATGCAACTCTGTCACGGTCAGTGTCAACTATTGTCTTCTGGGCTGCGACTCTGTCACGGTCAGTGTCAACTATTGCCTTCTGGGCTGCAACTCTGTCACAGTCAGTGTCAACTATTGTTTTCTGGGCTGTAACTCTGTCACGGTCAGTGTCAACTATTACCTTCTGGGCTGTAACTCTGTCACGGTCAGTGTCAACTATTGCTTTCTGGGCTGCAACTCTGTCACGGTCAGTGTCAACTATTGCTTTCTGGGCTGCAACTCTGTCACGGTCAGTGTCAACTATTGCTTTCTGGGCTGCAACTCTGTCACGGTCAGTGTCAACTATTGTCTTCTGGGCTGTAACTCTGTCACGGTCAGTGTCAACTATTGCCTTCTGGGCTGTAACTCTGTCACGGTCAGTGTCAACTCTTGCCTTCTGGGCTGCAACTCTGTCACGGTCAGTGTCAACTATTGTCTTCTGGGCTGCAACTCTGTCACGGTCAGTGTCAACTATTGCCTTCTGGGCTGTAACTCTGTTACGGTCAGTGTCATCTATTGTCTTCTGGCCTGTAACTCTGTCACGGTCAGTGTCAACTCTTGCCTTCTATCAGGTCAGAGCTGTGTTTACTTCAATTATTCCACCTGAGAGAGTTCCTCTGCTACATTCAGGCAGTTCAGTGGTAGCTAGAATTATCAGGCGGGCGACACAATATATCTACTATGTTATGTAACGGTAGTTATTGTGGCTCCAGCCTCCGGACCACATTGAAGATGTCGCCTTCTATCCAGAGCGAGGATTTCCTCGCGACTTCTTCCCAGTGACTCTCTCGGACTCCTACGTCAGCCCCGGGGTCTGGGTGCAAGTCCGAGGGGTGAAACCTGGCAAGGTGGCCACGGTGGAGTGCTGGGTAGGTCCTTTTTCTGTTACTCTTATGATATGGGGATGGGATCATATTTGTTCGCATGATCTGGGCAAGGGATTTCTATTTGATTTTATGATCTGGGTATGTGTGTGGGATCATATTTGCTCTTTGTTCTGGGCATGGAATCATATTTTCTCTTATGATCTGGGCATGAGATTTTATATTTGCTCTTATGATCTGAGAAAGGGAT